CCCCAAAACCCCAAAACCCCAAAACCCCAAAACCCCATTCTTTTAAATTTGAATTGAAGAAATGTATAAACAATAATGAACAACACAATTCAAACGGACAAGAAGGTGAGTATACATGAATTTTGGAAATGGAGTAATCAGTGGATTTAGGAAGTGAAGAAGATTGAAGAAGAGATTAAAGAGTGGCTTGATCAGTGTTTGGCCAGGAATTGGGGAGATGAGGTATGTGAGGGTAGAATTGGTTTGGTGATTGTCGATTCTGAAGTTTTTTTTGTAATCCCGCCTAAAAGTATAAATAGATGAATTATGAATCACATGACTCGTATTCAGATTTTAAGTATATAACCACAACCCCTATCTTGGATTTCCAGACCTGCCAACTCATCTACAAAACATCCCTTCTCAAAACCTTCACCTCTAAAAAGTAAGTAATCCCTTCATTCCCCTTCACCCCTCTATCCTCTCCCCCTAAACAAACCCCTACACCCCTACCCTCCGTCGCCATCACCCCTTCTGACACTCTCCTCCCCCTGCTCTTCCTCCACTTCCTTCTTTTTGTCTAAAAATCTTCCTTCAAAAATATCCATCCCTTAAGACCCATGTCAGCGTTTGTTTATTGCTTAGATTTTGGCTTGGGCTGGAAGACAATCGGGGGAGTTAGGAGGGAGAGGAAGGGGAGGAAGGGAGGTAGGTAGGGAGGGGATTTTGGGGCAAGAGGAAGTTCACCAAAGGAGGGCAGGTTTGGGTGAGGGGGTTTGTTTGTTGGTGGTTTTGGGAGAGGGGTGAGGATAGTGGTTTGGGAGGGGATGAGGGTTGGGATAGGGGAGATATCTTTAGGTTTGAAGAATAAGCTGTGAAAGCGAGGTGTTAGCTTAGTTAAAGCTTGAAAACATTTTAAATCAATAAACAAAATACCGTCTTGATAATTGTCGACAGCTTGCAAACAAAAAATATTAACTTTGAGATTTAGATTTTTACGATAATTTTTTGTTTGAATCACTCACTTTTATCTGTACACAAAATCTAATAATTCATCTAGATCGCAAGAGGGAGAACAAGAAATTGATGACATTGTAAGCGAATAGTTCTAGAGATTTCTTTCTAAAATTTAATTTAAACACTTCTTTTCCTTGTCGTATTTTGTTTATAAGTGTACTCGATCCCTTAATTTTTCAAATTTGTTAAAAATAATACGTAATTAAACATACTTTCTCTTATTTAATTCATATTATTTCTTTTCAGTATTCTTAATGTTCTTTTTATAGAAACAAGAACTTAACACAACAAAGAGTACCTTAAAAGAAATGACCAAGGTCTCTCTATTGACAGAAAAAGTAGCTTATCATCACAAAGAATTTGATAGAGAAATCATTCTTATGCTAAGTTACAAATAGCGAGATCTGCACTGTTCGCTTTATTCAAGTCAAACTCCTTAAGGATGGTATTACCAATGAACAAATTTATCTAAACGTTTTAAATTTCTTATCAGAGGTCACCAACGAGACTAATAGCATGACTTATTCTCTTGCAAAAGTTAGCCCAAAAGCTAAAGAGCAAGGTCTTTTATACAGTAGCAACTATGAAGACTTTGAAAAAGAGAATATGGCCATGGATCCAATATTCAATAAACCTGGTCTTGACGAAGATTCTTTCCTCCTCAAGAGTGAATACTCAACTTGTTTAAAAGTCTGAGATGACGAAAAAGCCTTAAAGAAGTATATGAACCTAGAATGACTTCCAGAGTTTGTAGGAATATGACTGAAAGATCAACTAGAACTCTTTGATAGAAATTTTAGAGCTATCGAAGTGTTAATGGAGGAAGAAAGCGAGGACTTTTTCTCACCAGGAACTTTAGCCTTTTTAACGTTATAAATATTAAAATTTGAATTAATAATCGTTGTTCAATATTGTCTCTCAAATCAGGGGTTTTGGGGTTTTGGGGTTTTGGGGTTTTGGGG